GTGTACCGTCAAATCAGATCTGACTGGTACAGGAGGAGATTGTCCCTCCTTCCCCGGCAGAGCATCTGGTGGATTCGAACCGTGCACCTCTGGGACTGTAGTTGCAGCTTCTTGCCACTAGGCCACCTGAGCTCCCCTAATCCCTCTTCAATCTTCTTTGCTTGTTGTCCAACTTACACGTATGTGTGAAGTAATTGAAAATATCATGGTGTGGAGCAGGTGCACCTTAGTCCTCCAAGTGACTGCCTTGCTCTCCAGCACTTTCAATGGCAGGGTTGCTTAGCAGAGTCCAGGTGCTGTGTTTCCATACGTTTGAGTAATGCATTCTTCCTCCTGGTTCTCTTGCCTCTCAGGACAGAGCATCCGCTCAGCAGCAGCTGTGGATGGTGGAAGACACGCTGGCAGGTCTGGGGGGACCCCAAAAACCACCCGCACGCACTGAGCCTGGCTCCCCATCCTCCCTGCTCCAAGGCGAGGAGTCTTCAGAGAGAGAGGTGAGGCTTGAATCTCTTGTCACACACCCCACGTTCTCTGTCCCACCTCCCTCCGGTTCTCCTCTGCATCTACCCCCTCACTTCCCCCTCCCTCGGTGAGCTGACAGACCTCAGGAAAGTCCCCAAGCCACTTCCTGACCCAGTTGACTGTGTGCCATAGTCGGCTCACACCAGCTCCCAAGAGCCAATTATGTGCCTCTCTTCCCACCGTTCGTGATGCGCTGACAGCCTGACATTGACCATGATGGGAGTATTTACACCAGGGACATTGGCAAATGCTACAAATCAGGGCTCTTCCCCCTGGAGTCACTCAATTGGAATTTCCTATTGGATTTCTTTCTTTTTTTTTTAATTAAACATTTTATTATTTTTTTGTGTGTGTACTGTCAAATCGGATCTGACTGGTACAGGAAGAGATTGTCCTTCCTGGGACTGCAGTGCAGCTTCTTGCCACTAGGCCACCAGAGCTCCCTATTGGATTTCTTATTGGACATCGACATGATGGAGCCCTTGACTGAGATAAAACATATCTCCCTCTCTCCCTCTCCCTCACCCTCTCTATCGCCCTCTCCCTCTCCCTTTCCCTCTTCCTCTCTTTCTATTTGTTCTTTAGGACCTAGATATTAATCTGTAGGTTGTATAGACGTATTCCATCTCCCTTAACAGAAGCCCAATGTCTTCTAAGTGATGATTCCCCCTTCTCCTCCCTCCTGACCACCCAAGATCTCTCCTAACAAACTTTGGTCTCTCTACACTTCTCATTAATCCATCTGTTGTTATTGTTGCTGTTGTTCGGTGCCCCTGAGTTGACTGTAACTCACAGCAGGCCTGGAAACAACAGATTGAAGCGCTCCCCTGTCCTGTGCCATCCTCTCAACATCTGCCAGTCTCCAGCGCACTGTTGCAGTCACTGTGTCAAATCCACTTTGTTGAAGGTCTTTCTCTTTCCATCTTTCCCAGCATGATGCCTTTTTTGAAAAGGCTCATCCTTCCAGACAACATGCCCAACGTATGTGAGAGAAAGTTTCATACATTTTTTTTTTGTATAGTGAAACTTCATCTTATTTACTTTGGCCATATTATCAGGAGGAATTGCTCCTGGGAGTAAGACATCATGTTGGGGAGGGTAAAGATTCAGGAAAAGAGAGACAGATTCTCAAGGAGCTGGACTGACTCAGTGACTGTTG